GGGCCTTACATTTGTGGGTGCCGTTCCGGGCAGCAATGGAATGCAATGATCATGGGCACGTTTCGGTGGTAGTTCCTTAGGCTCTTGGAAGATCACTGAAAACTTCTGAAGTAGCTGTTGTAGTTGTGTGCGGGCTTCTTCGGATCTGCTGGAGTTACTTCCTTGGGCTAGAATTGGGTCGTTCCCGTGGAAGTCTACCTGCATTAAAATGATGTTGGTTGGATCTGCTACCTGTTTTCTTAGGGTAGCGAGACTAATGGGTCCTGGACCCTTGGACAGTTGTCCTTGAATATGCACCTGTGAGCTCTGCCCACTTGAAAATCCATGGTGAGACGGGCCCAGTCACATATCACCGGCCCTAGTTGCCTTAACCATTGGACTCCGAGAACTACATCTGCTCCACTGATTTCCAAGGGGTGTAGATCTACCTCGAACTCGTGTCCTTGTATCTTCATCTTTAATCCTGTGCACGTACTGTCGCACACCAGGTTGCTCTCATTAGCTACGTGCACCGGGAATGTTGTACATGGTTGGACCGGAATCCCTAGTTGTCTAACCAATGTTTGGGTAACGAAATTGAGAGTGTTGCCACTGTCTATCAGAACCGACACATGGCACCCTTGTACCAGTCCGGTTACTCTCATAGTTTGAGAAGAAGCAAGACCGGTCAAGGCTTGCAGGGATACTTTCGGGTATTCCTTTGTCCATTGCCCCCATTCTTGGTTGTCCATTGGCTCTTCAATGTCTGTTGATTGCTCGACGTTTTCGGTTTCGGGTTGAAGGAAGAAAACTTGCGGGATCTTACAGCGATGGCCCGGCCCGAATTTGTCTCCACATGCATAACAAAGGCCCTTTTTTTTATAATTAGCATAACAAAGGACCTTTTCTCATCGGGCTTGCATCTCAGCCCAGGTTAACCTCTTGGCTGAGCCGGGGCCTGAACCAGAGTTGGCGTCCTTGCCTGTGATTCCTACTCATGGTCTAGGCTCCGGTTTACCCAAGATACCTGGTTCTAGATTCGGTATACCTGGTCTGACTGCAACTCCCAAAGGTCAATTAATCCTTGCGCGATTCAGTTTGTCTTCATGTAGTCGAGCTAAGGCTGCTGCATCAAGAACAGTGGTGGGCTGCATGGCTTTCACCTCCAGCCGCAATTCTTCCCTGAGTCCACCAACAAAACTACCGACAAACGTGTTTTCTGGCCACCCTTGCACGCACACAACTAACCTTTCGAACGCCATCTGATAATCTTGGACGAAGCCAGTCTGTCGTAGCTTAGCGAGGCTTTCATCATAGTTTTCAAAAGCCGAGACTCCAAATCTCATGGTTAAGGCATCGGTGAAGTCCACCCATGTGGCTCTTGGGTGCCGTCGCCGGTACCACTGGTACCAGACGATCGCCTCTCCTTCCAAGTGTGCAGAAGCTAATGGAACACGATCAAGTCCCTGCGTATCGTGGTAATCAAAGTATCTTTCTGTTCGCAGAAGCCAGGATGTGGGATCTCCCCCTACGAAGACGAGAAACTCGATTCTTGCTGTTCTTGGTCCGCTTCGATGACTGGTGTCACTGCGTTCTTCCTGCCCTTCCCGATTCGGCATGGGTGGTGTTTGTTCCCGTTGTTCAAGCAAGGATGCGAAGTTTTCTTTGATTTCTTTGACGTCAGCCGATAATCTTTGCATTTCTCCTTCCATGTTGTCGACCCTGTTCTCCATCGCGAACGACCTTGTGCTTGGCATCTTGGCTCTGATACCAACTTGTTAGGAACCACCTAACTCAGGGACTTTTTCAAGGAAGCCTGCCTCCTAAACGAGAGAGAGAAAAAAGAAGAAAGAGAGAGAGAGAGAGAGAGAGAGAGAGAAAGAGAGTGAGAGAGAGATTGTATTCTCAAAATCAATAATTCCTCTCCTGGCTTCCTTTCCTTATTTATACACTTCTGTTACAATTTTGTTATATCAGCCTCTCCACTTGTCCAGTTTGTTATTTAGTTTGTTCTAGTGGTTGGTTGTCAGTTACATTACTTAAAGGCTGGCGTGGCCTTTTCTTGTACACTTGTATTCCCTTTATTTGTGTCTCAACAAGCTGTGAGCCTGCAACAACCTGAAGAACTTAACTTTGACAAGGAGCTTGCAATCCAAGATGCCCTTTTAGCATCTAGGTAAGGAGAAACCTAAATATTTCAGATGATGGAGAACACCCTCTCACTGGAAACCTAAAAATGGCCATTGCCAAATGTTGGTCCCAACCATCTAAGGGGAGAAGTGGACTGAATACAGACCTAACCTGCAGCATTTT